CACACACACACACACACAGAGAGCACCTCCATGTCACGCACCAGCGCAACCAACGCACGTCTACAAAGACACGTCACCTGAGCATGCCCAGCCCACGATGCGCATCACCCCAATAGCAGGGCCCCACACTCTGGGGAATCAGTGCGATTGTTGACATGAAGCAACCGCCACCTCACCACACCGCAACCTTTCCCAGCTGCATGTCACCCGCCCCTCCTTGCCCTCAAGGGCACCACCCCCTAAGAGCAGCACATCGCCCGCACCCCTCCCCCCTTTGCCCCCCTGCCCCTGCCCTCACCCCGCGCCCATCCCATCAAATCAGCACCCCCCCCGTCCTCCCCTCCCCTCCCACCTCCTTGCAGCAGCGCATCACCCCCAGCACGTTGGTCTCCACGATCTGGGCCAGGTCCTCGTCATCGCTGTCCAGCAGGGGGCCGTACTTGTACGCGTTGGTGCCCGCATTGTTGATCCTGGCAACAGGAAGAGGGCGGATTGCTTGTAAGTTCAAGGGGGGAGGAGAGATGGGCTGAGGGAATCGGGCGGTCTAAGGGGTGCAGGTGGCTATGCATTTGATTACTTGTGGCCCCTGCGACGAGGAAGGGACGTGAGGGTGCGCACACCCCCTGGCCGCGGCCGCCCTGCCGCGCAGCCCAGCGTGGCGCCATCGCCCCTGGCCGCCACGTCGGCGGCCGTGGGGCGTCTCACTGGTGACGCCGACGGCACCCTAGTCAACCCCTGGTCAACCCCTGGTCAGCAGGAACTTCGCGGAAACCAGCGTCGATACATCAACACACCATCAGCGAAAGGGGGTTCGGGCCGAAGAGGGGCCGGGCCAGGGGAGTGAGCCACCCACCAGAGGTCGATGCGGCCGAAGCGGTCCTGGGCGAACCGCGCCAGGTCCTTCACCTGGTCCGCTCTCGCCACGTTGCAGGCCGTGCCCTGGGGGCGCGGCGTGCGCGGCGTTGTGGGGACGCACGTGGGCGCGTTGGTGGGCGGCGGGGGCCGAGCCGGGCCGGTGCGGCGGCTGCCCCGCGAGCCGGCGTGGACTGTTCAGGGGATCTGCGCAGGCTGTTGACCGGGCCTTGCGACCCAAACGCATTATCACGCAGCTTCAAACCACAGCCAGCGGCCGCATGCGACCACCACCCGTACGTTGCGGGCCCTCTGCCCGCACGTCGTGAGCTTCGTCATTCCGCAGCCTGCGCCCCGCCTCACCGCAACGCGGTCCTCCCCAAACTCCCGGGTCAGCTGCTGCACCGCCTCCGCGACCTGGTCGCCTGCGGGCCGGGAGCGATTCCAGCCGGACAGGCGGGGTAATCAGTCACCGCTGTGCTCCTGAGCGGCCTGCCGCTGGCCCCTGCGCTGCTCACGCTGGAAGGCTGCCCAACCACAAGGGGCTGCCGGTCCGCACCGGCGCGCACCATGTGCTGCATCCCACCGGCCGCACTGCGTTGCACGAATGAGCCACCCCACCACGTGCGCGGCCCGCCGCCCACCTGTCCGCGCACACACGACGACGCTGTCGCCCGCCCGCAGGAACTCCTCTGCCAACGCACGGCCCACGCCTGCGGTGGCGGCAGCGGCGGCGCGGCAGGCGAGGGGCTCGCTCGCTCGCTCGTGCACGGACGCGCAGCGATGGGTGCCGTAATCGCAACGCCGTGACCCGAATGGTTGCACGTCCGCTGCTGCTAGCTGCACGTGCAGGTGAGGAAGCTCCCAGAGGGAGGAGCGCCATGCATGTATGTGGCGCATCAGCTCACCTTTAGAAGACCCCGTGACCAGCACCACGTATGGTGGGACCATCGGCGCGCTGCCCGCCTTGCTGCCGCCAGCGGCGCGGGACGTTGACGCTGCTGCGCGCACGCGCAGCGGCGCGCGCGGACATGCGCAGGGGCCTGGGGCACGTGGGGGTTCAGAATATGTGCATGTCAACCAGAGCGCTCGGCAGGGGTGCGTGTGAGTAATCTCGCGCCAGTCGCCTTGACTGTGGCCAGACTCACGCACAGCGGGCAGTGAGCGGTCGCGCGTGGTTGGCGCCGCAAGCAATCGTGGCAGCCTTGTGAGTTAGCGAGGCCTGTCCGCCTCAGATCCTCATAACAACGCGGCTCACCCACGCGTAACGCTGGCCGAGCGGCTGCAGAACAGCTTTGCTGCGCGGGAGCCTGCATGGTTTTGCTCAAGGGACTAGGCTTTGATGGTCTGGTGAGCAATTGAACGATCTAGTCAAGCATGCAATCATTTACTTTTTTGCATTCAGCTCCGGACGCCCCAGGGGAAGACCATATCAACGTCACCAGAGAAAGAATTCACGGTCAAAGCCCGAACAGCCGCAGGGTTGTGTCAGTTATTGCCTGAACACATTTAGCAATAGATCGCGCCATCACCATGCAGCTGCAGTGCAAGCACCAGCCCTTCGCGGCCAATGGCGCACAGCATAGGCCACGGGCAGCGTTTGTGAGGGCTAATGCGTTGAGCAACAAGCTTGACGGGTGCGCAACGCGACGGCTACATGGCCCTGGCGGCGTTTCCTGGCATGCACCGCCAGAGCTGCTGCTGCGACGTTTGTGGCGAGCATGCCATGCGCCACTCGTCGCATGCGGCGTCCGCTTCGAGCCGCAGCTGAACCTAGCGGACCTGCTCATTGCGCTGTGCTGTTTGGTGCGTCGCAGCAGTCATGCATGTTGTGTCAGTGCAGTTTACCTGACCCTGCACCCGCTTTACGCAGGGCCCAGCCCGCCACTGTCCCCGCGCTCGCCACCGCCGCGGCCCGCGCTCTGTCGTCCGCCCTGCTGGCCGCCGCCGTCCTCGTCACCCCGGCCGCCGCGCTCGCCGACGAGGCGCCCGCTGCCGTCGCTGCTGCAGCAGCAAGCGAGGCCGCTGCGCCGGCAGCGCCTGCGTTCGGCCGCAAGGCCCCAGCGGAGACAGTCTATTTCGGCAACGGCTGCTTCTGGTGCGCACCCTCTCCGTCAGCCCGGGTCCTAGCCTCCTTTGCGAACACAACATCCTTGCCTCGGCGTCGACAATGCGCTTTCATGTATGCCCGACCCTGCTTGCTGCGGAAGGATGGCTCCGGCGGCTGCGCCCATCCGTCAGTCGCCCCACAGCGGCGCACGGCCCTCATCTGGTGTTGCCATCTTACAGATGAGAGCCCTCCCTTTGCTCTGCGTGTGTGCGATCCAAACCCCAGGGGCCGCCAGAAGGACTTTGTTGATGCTGAGAAGGCGCTGGGCCGGACGTCACCCGCTGACATCAGCTCCCTCGTGGGTTACGCGGCCGGCAAGAAGGTATGTATGTATGGAGAGAAGGAGGGGGGTGTTGTAGGAGGTCAGGGTGATGATGAAGAAGAGGAGGAGGGGACAAGGAGGGGGAGGAGCATGGGTAGGGAGGGGTGGTGGTGGGGCCGCGAGGGGACGGCGGGCAAAGACATCTGCGCGCGTCCTGGGCCCGGCGAGACTGCTGTCGGCGCCGGGCCATGGACCTCCTGCTGGGTGCTCGGCCGCGCTCTCGGCGCAGCCGCAGAGGGCCGCGCGGTCGCGGGGGCCGACTGGCTTCTCGTGCGACGGGCCGCGGCGGCGGCACGCGTTGCCTGGCATCCCACCCATACTTCGGACACCCTTCGGCATCACGCTCTCCCTCCACTATTGTTCCCCGGACTCGGTCCCTTCTGGCGTCCAAGCTTTGCCGCATAGCCAATCTAATACCCAGTGTCAGCCGTTACCAACCAGCAACCAAACTCCCACCCGCGGCAGACTGGCCCCGGCGACAAGGTGTGCTATTACTACAGTGACCCCCGCACCATCTACGAAAAGCTGGGCCACGCGGAGGTGGTGCAGGTGGCGCTGACGCAGAGCGACGAGGAGCAGCAGCGGCAGGAGTTCAGGTGATGGGGCGGGGAGCGGTGTTGGGGCGGAGGCAGGGGGGTGTGTGGGATGGGCGTGTGCGGGGTTGGGATGGGCACCGAATGGCGGCGCGGAGTGGCGGGCGCGGTGTTGGCTGGCGTGTGTTTGTTTTGGAGGGGGGGTGGCAGGGAAAGGGGGAAAGAGTGAGAAAGGGCGCTTTTGCTTGAGCACCCTTTGTGCTGCGGGTGGAACAGCCTGTGAGCTGGGCCGGCCCTTGCGCACGCGCGGCGGCCCCACCCATATGCACCAACCACATTTCTTCTGTCCCCAATCCATCACCGCCCTCCTTCACCCAACCGCACCCCAACACTATCCCTGCCCCCCCCCCCCCCCCCAGGACGTTTGCTGACACCTACTTCCGCCAGTTCCAGCGGCTGCGCAATGGCAAGATGCAGCGGCTGGACCCGCAGGACTCGGGGGCGGGCTACAGGAACGTCGTGGGCATCCCTGGGGGTGTCAACTCCCCGCTCTTCAAGGTGGGGGTACGATGTTTGATGTGCGCGTGCGTGCGTGCGAGCGAGCGTGCGTGCGCGTGCGCGTGCATACGCAGGGCCAGGATACGACCATTAGTCGTGGGCAAGTCTTTTAAGGGATGAGGAGAAATAACTCAGTTGTGAAGAATCCCTCAGGCCAGCTGCCTCCCCAGGGCTGTAGTTGGTCACACCCCCTGGAGTCGCCGCCCAGGCCCACTGCACGCCGGCAGTACTGGGCAACGACCAAATGCATGGGCACCACGACCTTGCTCACTCAAGCACTCCTGCCCCGGCCCCACTCACCAGCCTCACCCTCATAC